CGCAAGGCATTTCAGGGTAGTAATGAACTTTTCGGCAAAATCCAAAATCAGGTAAAGTTTGCTTCTGAGGGGGACAACTTTTGGCGCAAAGAGCATAGCAAAATCTTCAACCCCCTAAGTGGGGGTGCCATCCCCCAAATTTTTTTAAATGGGAATGGGGGTCAAGTGGGGGGTCATTAGAAAGGGCTTTTAATTCTCTATACATCGATTCTTACTTTTTGAAAATCGATCCATTATTTTAGAAAATATGCAGCTTTGAAAATACGAACAATATTTTTGACGAGAAATGCGAAAATCGATTTAATTTTACTTCAAAACTTACGGTATTAGCTTGGTAAATTCCTTCAAAAGAATTCGCTGTTTTTTTTTCTGATTTGCGAATTCTTTAGCCTGATTTTGGTGAGCAAAAAATTGTCCGCTTTTTGTTTCGTATTTAGATAGGCCACAAGAAGTTGCTAGATAACTGTCTTGTGACTTGTAGTTGAAGAGTACCAATACTGCCGAGTCTTTTAAATTGATTAATTATGGTGTACTCAATTCCAGAAAGAGTAGAAATTATTGAGCTTTTTTTCAAAAACAATGAATGCGGAAATCGGGTCGCCGAACTGTTCAACCAACGGCATCCTGAGAAACATGCGTCTGGAAAAATTGTTCGCGAATTGGTGGCCAAATTTCGCGAAACTGGCTCCGTTCATAACAAAAAGAGGCAGGTTGAAAATCCGGTACTAAATGAACCTACGGAAATAGCGGTATTGGGGCAAGTGGCAATGGATAGTACGCTGAGTACAATGCAATTGGCTACTGCGACAGGAGTGAGTCGTACAAGTGTCCAACGAATATTAAAAAAATACAAATTCCATCCTTATAAGATTCGGCTAGTGCAAGAGCTAAATGAAGACGATTTTGATCGTCGTTTGCAATTTTGCGAAATAATGACTGAACGAGCGATAAACGATAATTTCCTCTTTAATGTGTGTTTTTCGGACGAGTGTACGTTCTTCTTGAATGGTTTAGTGAATCGCCATAATTGTCGTTACTGGGCTGATACCAATCCAAGGATTTTCCATGAGACACACTCCCAACACCCCCAGAAGTTGAATGTATGGGCAGGTATTTTTGGAAATTCCATTGTAGGTCCTTTTTTCCTTCCTGGAAATTTGACAGGCGATATGTACTTGGATTTACTACAAAATGTCATCGACCCAGCTCTAACAAATATCATAGAGGACGACCCTGCTTACAATGAACACGAACTGATTTTCCAGCAAGACGGAGCTCCTCCACATTACTCGCTCAATGTGCGCAATTACCTAAATGAGACGTTTCCAGGACGCTGGATAGGACGAAGAGGTGCAATTGAGTGGCCCCCTCGGTCACCCGACTTAAATCCTTTAGATTTCTTTCTCTGGGGGCACATTAAAAGCAAAGTTTACAGCACTCCACCTGATACCTTGGAAGATCTGCGAGGACGAATCATTAATGTATGTCGCGAAGTAACACCGCAAGTGCTCCAGAATGTTCGACAACGGTTTGAAGACAACCTGTATCATTGTATGCAAGTTGGCGGACAACATTTTCAGCATTTACTTGACTAATACCGTAAGTTTTGAAGTAAAATTAAATCGATTTTCGCATTTCTCGTCAAAAATATTGTTCGTATTTTCAAAGCTGCATATTTTCTAAAATAATGAATCGATTTTCAAAAAGTAAGAATCGATGTATAGAGAATTAAAAGCCCTTTCTAATGACCCCCCACTTGACCCCCATTCCCATTTGAAAAAATTTAGGGGATAGCACCCCCACTTAGGGGGTTGAAGATTTTGGTATGCTTTGTGAGCCAAAAGTTGTCCCCTCAGAAACAAATTTGACCTGTTTTTGGATTTTACCGAAAAGTTCTTTACTACCCTGTAATGCCTTGCAGTACGTTTTCGATGAGCTGCCTTGTATAAACACCCTGTTCCAAAAATCCTGCTGTACTTCTAATATGCATTATTATAAGGCGCCGCCCTTCTCCAGAAAGTGCCTTTAATCCAGTTGAAAATACTATCAGAAATGCCTGCCGTTTGCTTCGGAAATTGCCATCGTGCCACACTTTTATCACCGTATGACCTTCATGTTTCGTCCGTGTAATATATTCTACGATTTAGTTCGAGCTTCTAATACTTGCCTTAAATAGATTCTTCGCAATATCACCATTACCTCTTTTCCTATCAGCATACCCTTTCGATTTTGATTTAAAAAACGAGATACTTCTAGATATTCCAGGTCAATTTTAATCCTGTGAGATAGCAGCCTCAATATTTTTATTGTCGAAAGCTCATTTTTAAAATACCATCCAGCTTAAATTATCCTCCATTTTTAAGATCACAAACCCAAAATCACTAATAAATTAATTACAATCACAATTAAATTAACGGAAAGATAAGTGACTTCTCCCGCGCGTACGCCTATTTGCCTGTGCTGACAGAATTGCCCGGAATAGCCGAATAAACGCAACCCAATTGACGTTATGCATCAAACGCCAATGAAAGTCTAGAATTTGAAGCAGCAGAAGAATATCTGGTGCACGCCAAACGAAACCCAATTGACGTCACGCGCCAAACACTAATAAAAATTTAGAATTTGCTGCAGCAGAAGAATTCCTAAAACTGTGCAATATCGACTGCTGTGGGAAATGCGGCACACACAATTTTATACGAAGAAGTTACAAACAGCTCGTACTTCTCCTTGTGTTACCCCACTGCCTATTATTTAGGTATCCGGCTGTAGTGTCATCGTAAAAACACAACACATTTTCGATAAGGAACCAAAAGAACGCAAAATTTTTCGATTTTTTCGGGTTTTCTTTGTTTCTAATTATCGACTTCTTGTTTTATTCGTATTTCGATTCTCTACAAATTAGGTAATAAAGAGGTTTTTCTAATATCTCTTAATATCTGTAAAAACGTTTGCTTCGAGAAGAAATGTTACTGAATTGCATGTAGGTAGTTTGAACCTTTTCTATTCTAGCTTATTCATATTACAACTATCGCATTTCTAGTCGACAATACCGTCAGATGGCCAGCTCGACATACAGGGAGGAAAAATGAAAACGAAACAGAGCTATTTTTAGGAATTGAAAAATTTTACATTTCAAAATTTAAATTATGTTTAGTTGCCTACTTACTACTTAGTTGATTAATGTTCAAACTGATGACCGCCCGCTTCCATACAAGCATAAAGATTTTCTTCGAAACGTTCGCGCACATTCCGAAGCATTTCCGGAGTGATTCGACGGCATTTGTCGACGATTCTTTGACGCAAATCTTCCAGCGACGCTGGCTGTGTTTTATAGATTTTACTTTTTAGGTGTCTCCACAAAAAGAAATCAAGTGGCGATAAATCCGGTGATCGTGGAGGCCACTCCATGCTGCCCCTTCTCCCAATCCAATTCCGTAGAAAATGTTGGTCCAAATACTGACGGACAATTAACGCATAATGCGGAGGAGTACCGTCCTGTTGAAAAATCAAATGATCTTCATCATACTCTGGAACAATTTCAATAATATCAGTCAAGGCAGGGTCAATAGCGTTCTCCAATAATTTGGCCAGTCAAATTACCAGGTAGAAAAAAAAAGACCCACCAGCCGGTCACCGAAAATTCCAGCCCATACATTCAATTTTTCCGGTTGCTGTGCATGCACCTCGTGAAAAACTCTTAGATTTGAATCGGACCAATAGCGGCAATTGTGACGATTTATCATTCAAGAAAAAACTGCATTCATCAGAGAAACAGAGAAATGAACTGTGGATCGTTCCCTGCTCGCTCACTCATTATTTCGCAAAATTGCAAACGGCGCGGCGGTCATAATCATCCTCATGAAGTTCCTGGACTAAATGTATTTTGTATGGATTGAACTTATTCTTCTTCAAAATGGTTTGTACGTTTGTTCGATTGATCCCAGACACAGATGCCAGTTGCCTCGTACTTAATGTAGGATCAAGATGAACTTATCCCAAAACTGCAACTTCACTAGCTTCATTAACTATAGGTTTTTCAATTTCTTGTTTTTTATTGGTTTATTGAAACTTTTTTACTAACTCTAGAACATACTTCCTCCTGACATGTCGATCTTAATGTTGTTCATTAAATAGCTGAGCTGTTCTATTCACACATTTATTGTTCATAAAGTAAAGCGAAATGATATCTATACCCTTTCCGCAATGGAATAAACCATAGTAGAAAATAATTTGGAATCCACTAATTTTACGTTCATTGTGTGTGTATAGCATTCATTTCTGTTTTTTACAATTCTGTTTTATTTTTACGAAAGTGATAACAAATCGCCAAAAACCAATGTAACGCAAGAAATACTAAATTTAAACCATTGGCGTACTTAACTCGAATGACTGACATTTTCACCGTTACTAATTGTTTGTAAGTACATAAGTTTCAACTTTAAAATCAAAATTCTTAATAAGTATTGGACGGAATTATAAAATTTAAATTCTGTTTTAAAGAAAATTGTAAGAGCTTTCACAAGAAATATAAATTATATAATGTGGCGGAGTCAAAAATACCAGCAAAGAATGTCCCCCTTTAATCTAAAATCGACGAGTCTCAGCGTTTTTCTGCAATCTTGACGCAGTTCCTGAAAATGGCTCTGTTTCGTTTTCATTTGGCCTGTATTAGAACTAATAGTTCAAAATATACAATATGTACTTCTCAGATTATCTGCTATAATAACAAATGTAGTAATCATAAGAAACTAACCCATATATGAAAAAATATTCGTTTTATTTTTTCTGGATAGACAATATTTGCACTTGTTCTAGTATCACTGTCTTACTATTGTTCCTGTTTATAAAATCGTTTTTCAAAACTAAGGAAAATAATGAAGACAGCTGACCTTTCGTAAATAAATGAGGAACAACAAAATAATTGATTGTAACACTGTCGCAAACAATTTATAAATGCAAGTGTATCAGCGACAATTAACTACAGTTACAAAACATGTCTAATATGTTCTACATTTATATCTGTTTTGTGTTATATTGGGCTAATATTTCACATGGTGCGAATATTCTGGCGCTAGTTGCCGCAGTGTCCTACAGTCATCAGATAGCATTTGCTCCATTATGGAAGGAATTATCTTTAAGGGGCCACAATGTAACGGTACTCACCACAGATCCAATGAATGATACTAAACTGACAAATCTGACCGAACTCGACATGAAATGGGCATACAACGTTCGTAAAAACAGCACCTATCTTATCGAAAGCAAAGTTTTCATGTGGAATTATCATCAAACTGTTTTTGGAGCAATGTATCGCATTTGCGATTTTGTCTTATCATCCGATATTGGAATGAATCTGCGTCGTAACGAATACAAGGCTGACCTGGTACTGGTGGAGTACCTATGTCCAGAGTTCCTAGCTTTTGCCGAGTTATATAATTGCCCAAAGATACTCATAGCTTCTATGAGCGTTCCCTCGATATATTCTGATTTAATAGGAGATTCTACGCATTCGGTTCTACATCCAGAGTTTATAACAGCTTTTCATGGGAAACTGAGTTTTAGGGAAAGGGTAGTAAGTACCCTGGTTAATTGGTATTTATATTACGTATTTAATTTTGATATTTTCAACAAAAAGCAAATATCCCTACGCCGATACTTTAATAGTACATCCACTATTCCAGAACTGATTAGTGACATCGATATGATGTTCCTGTATGTAAATCCTGTCATTCATGGACCAAAAGCAATTGGACCAGCCACTATTACCATTGGCGGTTATAGAGAAGATACATCAGAAGAACCAATACCATCGGTAAGTAAATGATATATCTACAAACAATAACTTCAACAAATTCTTCCAGCGATTTATTGTACTAAATTCAAATTCATAGTAATTATGATGTTTTAGAAAATGAAGAAGTTTTTGGACGAGGCTGTTGAAGGCTGTATTTACGTAAGTTTGGGAACTAACGTTAATAGTAGTGAATTAAATCAACAACTTCTGAAGAACATTAAAGATGCTTTAGGAGAGATACCATACAAAGTATTATGGAAATTTGAGGAGGATGTTGGAGATATGCCTAAAAATATTGAGACAGCTAAATGGATGCCCCAACAGAAAATTTTAAGTAAGTACAAAGTGGAGAAAAGATAATTTCACTCAAAATTGTCTCTGAAAAAAAAAAGAATTAGGGTGGTTGGTTAAAATTAATAATAATGATAATGATGCTAATAATAATTTTTTATCAAATCAAACATTAATACAGTTCTTAATGAATATAATGAAACAAAGAGGTAAAAAAACTGTAGGAATATATTTTTACCTACGGTTTGCATTATCCAATAATAATCACAGGCCAACTAGAAAAAAAACCAGAAAGCAGACAATACGTCCCCGAAAGTTTTTGATGCGCTAAATCCAAATCTGGCCTCAGAATTAACCCATCACCCTAGATTTCCGTGATATTCTAACCTAAATGTGTAAAACATACGGTTTTTGTTATATTAAAGATTATATGACATCGCGAATTAATTATTTTTCTAAAAATCAATTACACCACTGAAAAGTACAATCTTTCCCCTTCAAAACCCTTTTTTCGATTTGAAATTTGCCAAGATATCGTTAATTGAAAATCATTACTTCCGCTACTTTCTTACACCATGGCCAAATTAAGAAATTTTTTAGGAAGCAGACATAACGTATTTTTATGTTTTTTGGGTAGCTGAAATCGAAGCTAACCTTAATATTTTCTGAGATTTCCTAACCTAAAAGGTCAAGGTGTATGAATTTCGGGGATGTATTGTCTGCATTCTGGGTTTTTCCTTTTTTGAAATTTTGTCGGCGTGTGAATTAAGTTATTTTTGTGAAAAAACCCTTTGCCTCTTGTGTGTGTGTTTGTGTTTATGTTAATAAAAATCCGTGCGAACAAGCATTTCCGTCGATTCAAGATAATTAATTAGTGGTGTTTATATATGGAGATACTCATGAAATCTGTTAGTTTATTGTACATCTTATGAGCAGCGGTTTGTTGCAACACTTGTACAATAAGTCGGTTGAGCTGTCGTTGAAATCAGCAGTTCCAAAAATATTTGATCATATTGTTGTGGCTAATTAATAAAATATTCTATTCACAAAAATATTTCTGCTAATAGAGCTTTCTCACTTCGATTTGTTTACTTTTAAAATACCTTCTCAAGTTTATATACAACCTGTGTATTGTAGTAGTAAAATAATCACTTCATCGTCCAAAAGGTGCATGTATTTGCATTATGTTCTTTATGTTGGGAGTTCTATTTATAAATTTAGATCTTTTAACCTGAAACTTTCAAAAATATCGAAAAATAAGCATTCTAAGAAAAAAATTTCTATAATGAAAATTTAATAATTTCGCGGAGAAAATATATTAGTGCGAAAAGACTTTGAAATCTTAAATAGGAACCTCTATTTTTTATTACAGATTCGGAATTCTGTGGCTAAAAGTACGTAGGATTTATGTGGAACATTTTTCTCGATTCATGATGTAATCAAAGAAATTTATTTTTTTATTTCTCCTACTGAGAATCCATGCATACGATTCTGCAATACGTTTGCAATTAAAAATAAAACTCTTTATATACACACTCGAAATTCCTCATCAAAAATGTTTACTCATTTGCAAGTTTAAAGGCTGGTGTAAAAGGCTGGTATATAATCTATTTTAAGCACAACCCAGAAAAACGTGGACGTAGTAGTTTTCTGTCCTTTTCGAGATTCTTGATAGATTCTTAACCAAGAAGCATGATTTAGGTGAGTTTCTCGCCTCTCACATATCAGGGTACTTGATTTATGTGAGTTCCTTCACCTGTCACTTATCAGAATTATCAGATTATATTTTACTTAAAGTGCTCAAAAAGACAGTAAGACTTTAAATTACAGACACTGTTATCGTGCTTATTTTTCGAGATATTTGAAATCTTCAAGTTATAAAATCACCCTGTATTTTATCTAATAAAAACCGTTCTTAACATTTTCCTTAACATATTCTGCTTTTTTAAAAGATCATCTTAAATAATCTTACATTCGTAACAGATTCTGAAAATCAAAGGTATTATGGTATCAAATATTACTGATACATTGTACATCTTAAAATAAACAAAATGTTGATAAAAACATTGCTACTAAACATTATTTTTTCTTCAAATATGATCCATTTTATTTTCATTCGGTGCTAATGTTCAGTACGCAGTATTAAAGGATTCCATCATCAAGTTAGTTTACTAGTTTTTTCTTATTTTAACATTTGATTTTTAGTATCAGTATAAGCAAAGCGCATACAAATATTTATTGCCAATTTGTGTGAAGTTATTGATATGGAACAAAAGTAATTCTTCTTTATATCTTTTACTGCGTTTTCAGAAAAATGTATCATTTTACCGATATTTTTTCTTGATAAATAACACTCAGTTGTCCTTTCTGTCTCCGTCAGTATGTATAAGAAAAAAATAACTCCATGAAATATTACAATCGATAAACTAAAGACATGTGCCAAGCTCCATTTGAATTTAACCAGTTATTAAAATATATATACAAGGTTACAATTTTTTAATAGTCCAATAAAATTATCTTTCTTATTTTAAGAGATAAAAAATGATTAAATGGTTTTTAAATTTGGAAAATTCCGAATAGTTCCGAAAATGTTCGAAGAAAACCAATTTTATGCCATTTCTTTTTTGGTTGTATTTCACTTGTTTTTCAAAATTTTAGAACAAAAATATGAAATCTGGTACAAAATTATGTGAGGAATCGATTTTTGTTGTCAGTTTTCTTTTTGTTATGGACGACATATTGAATTTCTACCTCATTAGAAGAAAAGAGAAATTCACTTTGTAACTATGTATAATTTATGGGGTTTTTATAAATAAATCACCAAGTCATTTATATATTTGTCGTAGTTTTATTTAATGCACTGATAATTTTATTTCAATTGCAGATCATCCAAATGTGAAACTTTTCGTCTTCCAGGGAGGTCTTCAGTCCATAGAAGAATCAGTTCATGGTGAAGTACCATTTGTAGTTATACCATTTTTTGCTGATCAATACCAAAATGCCAAAATATTGGAAGACAAAGGCCTTGCCTTAGTTTTGGATAGAACGAGTTTGAAAAAGGATGATTTGAAGAACGCCATTCTGAAAGTTATGAATGATTCAAAGTAAGTCATAGGAGAGGGAAATAAATTATTTGTAAAGAAATATCGATATTATCCACAAGTGTAAATAAAGGGACACAAATTTTGGTTTGTTAACTCATTTTTAACTTTTTAGATACCGCGACAGAGTGAAGAAACTCAAACAGTTAATTCTTGACAGCCCTATGACCGGTCTGGAGAAGGCGGTTTGGTGGACAGAGTATGTCATAAGAAATAAAGGTGCCAAGCACCTGAGGAATCCAGTTGCAGATATCCCATTTTACCAGTACTACTTATTGGATATCGTAGCGTTTCTTCTAGGAATCATCATTTTATCAGTTACAGTGACAATTATAGCATTAACAAAACTATACAAATTAACTACGATTTGTTATCTTCTAAAAGAAAAAACGCAGTAAAAATACTTTTAAACAGATAAAAATTTGTGGCTAGGTGTATCAACTTTCCAATTATGATTATCAGAGTATATACAAAAGAATTTAAATTTTGTAAACTTATATTTTTTATATCCCAATTGACGAAGATTAATAAGCTTGAATGTGAATTTTGCAGTGAGATTACCATCAAAAGTGCTGTTGAAAACACTGTGTTTGTAATATATTTATTATCACTTTCTTTATACATGAAATTTTAAAAAATATACAGGTTAAAATTCGCTTCTCACTACAGGCTTACAGTAGCTTAAATGGGGGCAAAGTTGCGTAATCAGGGGACCAACATTATGCCTCTAAAAATCAAGGCTAACATGATTAGTTTTCGAAATATTGAAGAAAAAAACGAAATTTTGGAAATCCGTTTTAGTTTAATTTCAGCCTTGTTTGAGATAAAATGAAGTTGATGATGGTCCTGAAAAAACGAAACGATGCATACAAAAATTGATTATGCCATTCGATAGAGGGCAAAAAGTGGCCATGAGAAAGTGTTCTTTTTTCAATAAATCCTCAAATAAGGCTGAAATTAAACAAAAACGGATTTCCAAAATTTCGTTTTTTTTTCAATATTTCGAAAACTAATCATGTTAGCCTTGATTTTTTAGAGGCATAATGTTGGTTCCCTGATTCCACAACTTTGCCCCCATTTAAGCTAGTTTGTATCTCTTACCGTTTCCTAGATCCCTGTAGTGAGAAGCGAATTTGTAACAGCCTGTATACGTATATATTTCGCCCGTCANGGTGTATCAACTTTCCAATTATAATTATCAGAGTATATAGAATTTAAATTTTGTAAACTTATATTTTTTATATCCCAGTTGACGAAGATTAATAAGCTTGAATGTGAATTTTGCAGTAAGGTTACTATCGAAAGTACTGTTGAAAACACAATGTTTGTAATATATTTATTATCATTTTCTTTATACATGAAATCTTCTTAAAAAAATATACAGGTTACAAATTCGCTTCTCACTACATGGATCTCGGAAACGGTAAGAGGTACAAAGTAGCTTAAATGGGGACAAACATGTTTAGTTTTCGAAATATTTGAAAGAAATCGAAATTTTGGAAATCCGTTTTTGTTTAATTTCAGCCTTGTTTGAGATAATATTGAAAAAAGAACACTTTCTCATGGTCACTTTTTGCCCTCTATCGAATGGTATAATCAATTTTTGTATGTAACGTTTCGTCTCCCCAGGACCATTTTCAACTTAATTTTTTTAAATACTACCCTGGAAATTTTATTACATTTTTTGCAAGCCTTCATGACCCCCAATAATGTAGAGCCTGAGCCCGAACCAGATTCAGACATTTTGTCTCGAAAAATTCATCTTCAGTGTATTCATTCCAAATTTATCTAAATTTTTTATTTAGATTTATTTGTTTATTGAATTATCGTATACTGTAAGTGTCGTTAGACCCTGTGAAATCCATCTAGTTATTTAAACTATTACCACCACGCATTAAAATAAAACATTATTAGAATTTTATTCCCCTGTCCATAGTTATTTCTAGGCTTCTCGAGTGCTCAAAATTCAAACAAATTCACATCTATTTTTTTCAGGATATGCATACAAATACATCTGATATATTCTTTCATAGTTGCGGTTACAGATATAATAAATTCCAATAATATTACGCTGATCTTCACTTTCAACCTTTGCCAAAACGAAAATATTTTTTGAACATTTACTGAAATTTTTTAAAGAATAATATTCAGTTGGCGTTTTGGTTGTTCATATGCATTTTTAAGAATTAATTTGTCATAATAAAATTAAAATTGTATTAATGTTTTAACTTATTGAGTTATATATGACCAATAAGTGATGATAATAGTTAATAACAATAAATGTTTTATTGTAACGCGTGGTGGTAATAGTTTAAATTACTAGTTGGATTTCACAGTGTCTAACGACACTTACAGTGTACGATAATTCAATAAACAAAGAAATCTAAATAAAAAATTTAGATAAATTTGGAACGAATACACTGAAGATGAATTTTTGGAGACAAAACGTCTGAATCTGGTTTGGGCTGAGGCAGTATGGTATTGGGGGTCATGAAGGCTTGGAAAAAATGTAATCAAATTTCTAGGGTCGTATTTAACAAAATGAAGTTGATGATGATCCTGGAAAAACGAAACGATGCATACAAAAATTGATTATGCCATTCGATAGAGGGCAAAAAGTGGCCATGAGAAAGCGTTCTTTTTTCAATATCACCTCAAGTAAGGCTGAAATTAAACAAAAACGGATTTCCAAAATTTCGTTTTGTTTTCAATATTTCGAAAACTAATCATGTTAGCCTTGATTTTTTAGAGGCATAATATTGGTTCCCTGATTCCACAACTTTCCCCCATTTAAGCTACTTCGTAGCCCTTACCGTTTCCTAGATCCCTGTAGTGAGAAGCGAATTTGTAACAGCCTGTATACGTATATATTTCGCCCGTCAAAAAACAATTACATTTGACGAGTTTACTCGCCTCGTCTAATAATCATATTGATTTGTTATGTAATTAGTAAGTTGCTTTTACTCATTACTGCTCATTTACATTAATATATAATTACAAATATTTACTACAGTAGATTTAATTTGTTGTTATTATGTTTATTACGCGACGCTAAATGAAGTGTAAAATAAATGGAATAGGTATAAGAAAAATTTTGTAATACGGAAATATAGATACTTAATTGACTGTAAACTAAAATTATTTATATGGCATTACATTTGCATATGTAAATATTAATTAAAAACATAATACAACAAATACAAGTGGCTATCCGAATATAACTTTTATATGTTGGACATGAAATAGACTTTAAAAATTATTGTCAATTATGTTCTCACTGGTGGTATACAGGGTGTTAGAAGTTTGACTGTCTCTATTTTTAACAAACGATAGAATACATTAAAATAAACAAAAAAATCTTACATGACATGGGTCCTAAACTAAACCATTTCCGAAAAAAAATTATCAAAATGTCCAACTTGATGAATAAAAGTTCCATTCATTAAGAAATATTGACATAACTGCGTGCATAGAATACCATAAAATACACCTTTCACTTATCACTTTTTGAACTTCTTTTTGCTTAATTCTAAAAAATAATTAGCGTTGTAATAAATTTAAAATTCGATAAAATTCATATCGAGCAATGTGACAATGACGCGGCGGATAATATGAGGTATTAAGCTGTCAAGCAATACGCAATTCAGTTGGTATCTGGAATTAGACCTTGTCCGAGTGTTTTTTGCATACCACTACTTCCTTTTCTTTAGATGTTTTCCAACGAGTGCGCGAAAATTGGATTCGAAGAGTGTCGTCCGTGCATAGAAAATGTTGGTGGACATTTTGAGCATATGTTGTAGTTTGTTTTGTACTTGATTGCGATTAAAAATTACTGAATTTTGCTTTTTGGTAAGTACCTAAATTATTTTTAATACGTATGATTATTTGGATGACGTGAATCTTTGGTACTTTAATAACATATTTTCAAATTCATAATTTGATTAAAGGTTAAGTTTCTGTTTTAATAGATTCATAATTACTAAAATTCAAGATAAAATTTAAGCACAACACTATCTTCCTATTACAAAATCGATACATTTCATTTTATTTATTTAAAAACTGGAAAACAGTTGTCTTGAAATTTACTAAATGTTTCACAATAATAGTTGTTTACATTTTTTCCGTAGGACAAGTCTGCCGCGTGCACACTTGGTATGCATCAGCTGTGTAGCGTTAGGTAAAGCACTGTTGTTACGTTGTGATGAAACTCTCCAATATTAATACTCGCTGTATTGTAATGGCAGTCAAACTTCTTACACCCTGTATATCGGTCAAGTACCTATACTATTACTGTTATTTTGGAGTAACTGACTTATTAGAACCTCAGTAAGAGTAGTAAGTTCTTTGTTCGGTGACGCCACTACTTGTAGTACTTTTAACTTCTAATTGTAAATCACATATTATTCCATAAAAAGCGAAATGTAATAAATACAGGGTAGCCCATCGAAAACGTACCGCAAGGCATTATAGGGTAGTAAAGAACTTTTCGGCAAAATCCAAAAACAGGTCAAATTTGTTTCTGAGGGGGACAACTTTTGGCTCAAAAAGCATACCAAAATCTTCAACCCCCTAAGTGGGGGTGCTATCCCCTAAATTTTTTCAAATGGGAATGGGGGTCAAGTGGGGGGTCATTAGAAAGGGCTTTTAATTCTCTATACATCGATTCTTACTTTTTGAAAATCGATTCATTATTTTAGAAAATATGCAGCTTTGAAAATACGAACAATATTTTTGACGAGAAATGCGAAAATCGATTTAATTTTACTTCAAAACTTACGGTATTAGTCAAGTAAATGCTGAAAATGTTGTCCGCCAACTTGCATACAATGATACAGGTTGTCTTCAAACCGTTGTCGAACATTCTGGAGCACTTGCGGTGTTACTTCGCGACATACATTAATGATTCGTCCTCGCAGATCTTCCAAGGTATCAGGTGGAGTGCTGTAAACTTTGCTTTTAATGTGCCCCCAGAGAAAGAAATCTAAAGGATTTAAGTCGGGTGACCGAGGGGGCCACTCAATTGCACCTCTTCGTCCTATCCAGCGTCCTGGAAACGTCTCATTTAGGTAATTGCGCACATTGAGCGAGTAATGTGGAGGAGCTCCGTCTTGCTGGAAAATCAGTTCGTGTTCATTGTAAGCAGGGTCGTCCTCTATGATATTTGTTAGAGCTGGGTCGATGACATTTTGTAGTAAATCCAAGTACATATCGCCTGTCAAATTTCCAGGAAGGAAAAAAGGACCTACAATGGAATTTCCAAAAATACCTGCCCATACATTCAACTTCTGGGGGTGTTGGGAGTGTGTCTCATGGAAAATCCTTGGATTGGTATCAGCCCAGTAACGACAATTATGGCGATTCACTAAACCATTCAAGAAGAACGTACACTCGTCCGAAAAACACACATTAAAGAGGAAATTATCGTTTATCGCTCGTTCAGTCATTATTTCGCAAAATTGCAAACGACGATCAAAATCGTCTTCATTTAGCTCTTGCACTAGCCGAATCTTATAAGGATGGAATTTGTATTTTTTTAATATTCGTTGGACACTTGTACGACTCACTCCTGTCGCAGTAGCCAATTGCATTGTACTCAGCGTACTATCCATTGCCACTTGCCCCAATACCGCTATTTCCGTAGGTTCATTTAGTACCGGATTTTCAACCTGCCTCTTTTTGTTATGAACGGAGCCAGTTTCGCGAAATTTGGCCACCAATTCGCGAACAATTTTTCCAGACGCATGTTTCTCAGGATGCCGTTGGTTGAACAGTTCGGCGACCCGATTTCCGCATTCATTGTTTTTGAAAAAAAGCTCAATAATTTCTACTCTTTCTGGAATTGAGTACACCATAATTAATCAATTTAAAAGACTCGGCAGTATTGGTACTCTTCAACTACAAGTCACAAGACAGTTATCTAGCAACTTCTTGTGGCCTATCTAAATACGAAACAAAAAGCGGACAATTTTTTGCTCACCAAAATCAGGCTAAAGAATTCGCAAATCAGAAAAAAAAAAAGAATTCTTTTGAAGGAATTTACCAAGCTAATACCGTAAGTTTTGAAGTAAAATTAAATCGATTTTCGCATTTCTCGTCAAAAATATTGTTCGTATTTTCAAAGCTGCATATTTTCTAAAATAATGGATCGATTTTCAAAAAGTAAGAATCGATGTATAGAGAATTAAAAGCCCTTTCTAATGACCCCCCACTTGACCCCCATTCCCATTTAAAAAAATTTGGGGGATGGCACCCCCACTTAGGGGGTTGAAGATTTTGCTATGCTTTTTGCGCCAAAAGTTGTCCCCCTCAGAAGCAAACTTTACCTGTTTTTGGATTTTGCCGAAAAGTTCATTACTACCCTGTAATGCGGTACGATTTCGATGGGCTATCCTGTATAATGGTCGCAACCGCTGGCCGCAGGATTAGTCCGATCGGAAGGATTTTAGTATCGTTTGTAGACTTTTTGGCATCCAACGGAAGTGGTCAATATTTTCGTAGTCGCATAATATCCACAGAGATGGAAATAAAGAAAAAAATGGTAAACCTCTAAACCTAAATATTTTGGCTATTTTTATGATACTTTATCGATGTTCAAGTGTACTATAAGTGAATTTAGTTGGAAAAGTCTTCCAAGGCATATAAGGTAGAGGATTAAAGTAATTTAGTTTCGCCCACGTGTAAAATAATTTTAAAATCAAGTAAAGAAGGGTAGGTATTTTAGATGAGGTAAGAATAGTAAGTGACTTGCGGGGACTGGAGGTTCCAAAGGAAATAAAATTTCTAGTTATTCTTTATAAAATATTCAACTAATGTTCAACCAATCAAGGTCATTTCAAGTGATTAAAAATAATAATTATGAACACAAATAATATAAAATGTACAAATTTTGTTCATATAAAAAGAAGTCATTAATTTAAAAAATACCAATTATTTGGCCATTCCTTGCGTAAATAATATTCAATAAATTGGGGATACTTCAAAAACATTATCATGTGAACTAACAATAAATAACGTTGCAAACACAATACGTGATTAGTTAGAATTTAATATATTCACAAAAATGTTTTGCAAATATGTGTGTTTGGTCCTGCTCTCAGTGCCTGTCTCATACTGTGCAAATATTCTAGCCATAGTTCCCACAGCAACATACAGTCACCATATAGCTTATGCACCTCTATGGAAAGCTTTGTCCCTTAGAGGACACAATGTTACACTGGTAACAACGCATCCAATGGACAATCACCAGCTAACGAATCTGACTGAACTCAATATAAATTGGGCTTCCCAACTTATTCCCAATGTCAGCAACTCAGCAGAATTCAAAGTAACGATGTGGAATTTCCATTCTCTTCTTAACACAGCTACGAATTTAATTTGCGACAGACTATTATATTCAGATATCGGCCAGAAACTACTAGATAAAAGTAGTCATTTTGACTTGGTTTTGGTAGAGAATGTGTGTCCGGAGCTGTTAGGTTTTGCTGAAATGTATAATTGCCCCAAAATACTTATAGCCACAATGAGTCTGTCTTCAATATTTTCCAGTATACTTGGGGACTTCGCTCATCCCATCTCACATCCCGAATTCGTGCTGGCCTTCCAAGGGCAATTAAATTTTAGGGAAAGGGTAATAAGTACGATGGTTACATGGTATTTGTATTATACCTTTTTATATGTCATTTTTCCCAAGAAGCAAAAGACGTTGCAGAAGTATTTTAATAACACATCTACGATTCCAGAACTTATTAGGGACACAGATATGCTGTTTCTAAATGTAAATCCAAATATTCATGGTCCCAGGGCTATTGGCCCAGCTACGATTACCGTTGGTGGCAATAGAGAAGATTTATCACCAGAACCAATACCAAAGGTAGTTTAAAAGTTTAATCATTATTTTATTTTAATGAGTTGATTGAATGATTTTCTTTTATCTGTCATGACGGTATTACATTTTTTAGGATATAAAGAAGTTTCTGGATGATGCCAAAGACGGGTGTATTCTCGTAAGTCTGGGAAGTACCATCAAAAGTAGTCTAATAGATAAGGTTCTACTGAAATCTATAATCGATACTCTAAGAGAGGTGCCGTACAAGGTGTTATGGAAATTTGAGACTAAAATAACCAACATACCCAAAAACGTCAAAACAGCGAAATGGTTACCTCAACAGAAAATTTTGAGTGAGCATTAAAACATTCACAAATAAAATTCCCTTATGAAGATATGTCACAATATAACTATTATTTTTTTAGATCATCCGAATTTGAAGCTATTTGTCTCACAGGGAGGTCTTCAGTCAGTAGAAGAAGGAATTTATGGTGAAGTACCCTTTGTGATAATACCGTTTATTGCTGACCAGTTTCAAAACGCAAGAATGCTGGAAAACAAAGGGGTCGCCATTGTTTTGGATAAAAATAATTTAAACAAACATGTTCTGAAGAGCGCCATTCTGAAGGTGATGAATGATCCAAAGTAAGTGACAGATTGAATAAAAGAGAATCATGAGTAAATAATTAGCATATGCGTTGGCATTTGAATAAAAATATTTGGGTGATGCTTGATATGAATGAATATAGTTTGGTGTGCCATTGAACATGTGGTGACTTTAAAAGTGATTAAGCCAAGGCATCGAAATGCAACTTTCTGTCGTTTTATAATAATTATCACATTGTTATAGACTAAACATCTTCACATCATTCATTTTATTGTGCAAGATAAATAAAGCTGTTTCGAATATCAAATTTGACAAAATATTAAGAATTATGTTCACATATAATAAACTGACTTCTTTAGCAAAATTTATATCATACATACGTAAATATGAAAATTACACATTCTATTTCTCACATATCAACTTAAATTGTCTAATGATGTAAATTATACAGGGTGGCCAAATGAAAACGAAACAGAGCCATTTTCAGGAATTGCGTCAAGATTGTAGAAAAACGCTCAAACCCGTAGATTTTAGCTTAAAGGGGGACATTCTTTACTGGTATTTTTGACTCCATCACTTTCACTCCCAAGCAAGGATAAGCATCACCCCAAAATATTTAAATGGCATTGGGGGTTGAATAATATTCCTTTTTATATTATTCTTATATTTCTGTAAATTTTATAATTCCACTGAATACTTTGAAAAAAAAATTACATTTCAAAATTTAAATTATGTTTAGCTGCTTACTTACTACTTAGTTGATTAAATGTTCAAACTGATGACCGCCCGCTTCCATACAGGAATAAATATTTTGTTCGAAACGTTCGCGCACATTCCGAATCATTTCCGGAGTGATTCGACGGCATTCGTCGACGATTCTTTGACGCAAATCTTCCAGCGACGCTGGCTGTGTTTTATAGATTTTACTTTTTAGGTAGCCCCACAAAACGAAATCAAAGTCAAAAATACCAGCAAAGAAAGTCCCCCTTTAACTAAAATCGACGGGTCTGAGCATTTTTCTACAATCTTGATGCAGTTCCTGAAAATGGCTCTGCTTCATTTTCAATTAGCCACCCTGTATAGTTACTATATATGTCAAAACGAAAGTTTGCACTTAAGCGCTCCATAATATATTTATACCAAAGTATAAGTTGCAGAGATATGTCAAAACTGTTTTATTGTCTTATCCAATTATTTAAGTTCAATTGAGTTAATAGGTAGCCGTTCGCAATGAAGCTTACATTAGCCTCTACCGCTAGATGTAGGTTACGCTCTGTGATTTGTTTTATGTATGCCAGGACACTACGCTTATAGAAATTCTTCATCAATTATATGAAGTGATGAACAATGGTATATGGACATCAAAAACGTGCGAAAATGGTGCAGTTAGTTTAAAAACGGACGTATAGATGATAAACAGCGTACCTGGCGGCTATCAGCTTCGGGCGAAACGATTGCAACAGTGAGTAATGTTTGAAGATCGACGGATAACGATTCGAGAGCTGTGGGAATTGATTCCTGATGTCAGTAAGACTAATGTTGACAATATTTTAACAGAACATTTGCATTATCGCAAGGTGGGTCCCCAGAATGCTCACCAAAGATCACCAACGGCAACGGGTTGAAGAGGCCCGCGAATTTCTTGATTGCTACGCAAAAGAGGGTGAGGAATTCTTGGGTTCAATTGTCACTGGCGATGGAACTTGGGTACATTACACGACACCAGAGACAAAAGAACAGTCCCGTCAGTGGCGGCATTCAGGACCGCTGAAGCCTCGAAAATTTAAACAACCATTGTCTGCCTACAGTGTTGACGACTGTGTTTTGGGATAGGAAAGAGCTATTGCTGTGTGACTTCATGCCTACCGGGACAACAATAAACGCAGATCGCTACTATCAGATTTTAAAGAACCATCACTGTGCAATTCAAAGCAAAAGAAAAGAGATTAGGACAACGCTCGTCTTCATACCGCACGTGCGACAGCCGACCTCATCAATCAATTTGGAAGGGATAACATCACACACCCCCCTACAGCCCGGATCTAGCACCAAGTGATTTTCATCTCTTTCATGTGTTGAAGTCCTCCTCTTCCTGGGTGGAACAAATTTCAGGACCGACGAGTAGTTTTAAGAAAAAGTTGTACGCTACCTGGAAATTGCTACATCAATAGTCAGGCTTTCCAACGGCGCATAATTCATTGTTTCTTTGTGAAAAAAAATTATGTTGTATATTAATTTTTACTTTTAAATAGATATTCAGCTGTTTTACGTATGATCACATATTGATTTACAAGGTAGATATACGAAAGAGCTATATTATTTCATTTTTCAAATTTTATTAATATTAAGATTACTATATAATGACATTAATTTTATTGGTTTCAGGTATACCGAAAGAGTTAAAAAAGTAAAGCAGTTAATTTTGGATGAACCCATGAGTGGATTGGAGAAAGCGGTGTGGTGGACAGAATACGTTATTAGAAATAAAGGCGCCAAGCATTTGAGGAATCCAGCAGCTGATATACCGCTCTATCAGTATTTCCTACTAGATGTTATCGGATTCTTTCTATTAATAGTCATTTTAATTGTTACTGCCTTGTTGCTGGCACTCAAGAAAATATATAAGTTGTTCTGGAGGTTTCGCCATGAAAAGCTAAAGTCACAATAAAAATATAATACGTTATTGGAATTTTTTACTTCAGCAGTGGCAATGCTATGTTTGTAAATCCTTACAATTATTTTTGTGTTGATTAACAGAATATAATACAATTTTATTCAATATGTTTCAAACATAAATGCAAAATATAACCGCATTGTTTATTAAACTAACTGTTGCCATTTTTGAGTTATATTATTTCAAAAGTAATGTAATAGTAATAGTGACATGCAAACTCAGTTCAACAAATACTTTAGCTGTGGAGAAATAAATACAAAAAGAAACTATTAATGTTCGACTAGCTTTTAAAAATTTCTATTGAAACCTTCCCGGAGTTCCCAAACAAGTCCAATCATCAAAGTAGCAGCAGACTATACAGACGGAGGGCGATGATGGTGGCAGAGCGATCGCTGATGACGATAACATCGAAATTCGAACACCACACCGAACTACGGTCCAGATATCAGTACGAATCGAGCAAATTCTAAATATCGGTAAAATCCGAGGAGACAAGATGATAAATTTAAGATCGCTGCAGATCCTACGCGCCTCCTTAATACTTGTCTGTTTCCGAACTTCTATTCTGATACCTTGAATCTCATTAACCAGGAACGGATACTTGGCCAGTTCATCTTGTACCATCCAAATTCTTTGTTAATTGCGTTATATACATTTGAAACCACAACTTAATATTATTATTCAAAAAATTACAAATAACAAATTTTCTCAATTCAAAACATTGTTAAAAATTCTTGCTAGCGCACTACTTGGGATCTGGATCCCAAATCTAGCCTAGAATCTGCCGGGAATGACCGACTACCGCACTGCGCTCGCCTCCAGACATCCATACCGTTAGTAAAATATTCGCAAGGACAAAAAAATTTTATCGTCATAAGTAAATGCGTTTTGCTGAAACACGTTTACTATCACAACAAAGAAAGTCTGATAACCATTTAACAGCTCAGATAAAGCCGGCTCCAGACGATGTGCTCAGTACTCCATTATTTGTCAAATATAAACAAATACAGTACGGCGTGGACGACTGAGTGGATGAAAATGTCGTATCGTGTGGATGACGCATATCGATTTATTCGAAAGTGTGCCTTTACTTGCCCAATCTATATAAACGGCACAACTTCTCGATTATTCAACAAGTGATGTTCCCTTGGTGGAGGACAAACCACATAACATGTTAAAGAAAATCAATCTGCCCGCACGTCAACACTTGAAGCAAGTTCCACTGTGCATTGCTCCCTGTATACAGTCGGTTGGCAGGCGGACAACTGGTAAATTCTACTCCTACAACGTATGTAGAAAAATATTTAAGGAAATATTTATCATATGCTCATATTACACATCTTGTACCTGTATATCAAATATATAACGCCACAATTAATGTGCAAGTATTTGACACATTTATGTTTGATGTACGTTTTTTTGTTATCTGGAGCCAGCTTTAGGAACATTATTTGCAGGAAATCTATCATTATGGAATAGGAATATCTAAAAGGGCTCGTTGATTCGCCCACTACATAAGCTTTACTTTTTTCGGTGCCCCAGGCAAATATTTGTCCTCGAACTTCCATAAAACCTTGTAAAGCATCTCACTGATGGCCTGAATGATGAAACTGAGTGACTGTTTTAAGTTTTCTACTTTTAACTCTAATTCCTAAACTGAAATAGATAAATCTTTCTTTAGTGTTCTTCAGATATTCCTGCAAATCTTAAAAAATTATATACTGCAAATAACGTTATTCAATTATCAGTAATATCATTTCTACATTACAAACGTAATGAAATTACATTTAGGTAAGGTAAATGTTTGAAAAAACTAAGTACTATTTGTTTAATTCCACGTTATTAAAGGTTCTGCTATATTATTGTAAAATTTAGAAAGAAAGTCATTCCCTATTCTATTGTGAGAATTCGCAAATAATATTACACATTTTTAACATGTCAAGACTCTTAAGATAAAAAATATATCCAGATCAAGAATACTTAATTGCCTGTCTGTTAATGATTCATAATTAAAGTATTTGTCTCACACATGTGATCCTTGAAGATTATCTTTATCATTACTATACGTAATTATTATGAAATACAGAAATGACTTGCAATCTTATCTTTAACTCATTAATTTTTGATAGGAATAAATATATTTGTCAGTTACATCCGGGATGATAATATAATTTTAGAAACAAATAATTACACACAATGCTTAGCGAATTATGTTTACGGAAAATTTATTATTATGAAAAATAGATCCCTTAAATCGCTATAATGTTAAGGAAACTTTTTTTTTATAAAAACAACAGTACCTATAGACTAATAAATATATGTATAGATATAAAAACTATAAAAGCTCTAAAGTTTGTTATTTTATTTTAAAAAATTTATTGTTTTATTTTAGGAATTATAAAAAATGTCCTAGTTTTTTCTTTGAGTTAGTTTTTAAAAACCACCAAATATGAATAGACTTTAGGTATAGTAATATAGACAATGGGAGGCTAACTACTATTTGCTTCTAAAAAAAGAACATTAGTTTGATGGTATCAAATTTAGAAAAGGAATTTTGTTCTAACACCATTTTCGTATAGTCGGTGNACTCCGAACAAGGGCAGTTTGCACCCTTGTTGTTTCTTTGCGAGTAATTATTTTTGCATCAGAACATCGGCAGAGGTGTTCTTTACAATATCCTGCAACTCCTTATGCCCGATCGAATGCCGTTTTGGTCCTGGAAGCGATTCTATGAGGTATGAACAATTTATTTATTCCGAACAAGGGCAGTTTACACCCTTATTGTTTCTTTGCGAGTAATTATTTTTGCATCAGGACATCGGTAGAGGTGTTCTTTACAATATCCTGTAATTCCTTATTCCCGATCGAATGCCGTTTTGGTCCTGGAAGCGATTCTATGAAGTATGAACAATTTATTTACTCCGAACAAGGGCAGTTTGCACCCTTNCAGTTAATAATGTTAACTTTTGTTTTTTCAGTTGCGAAATTGTTTAAAAAAGTCAATAAAATTGAAAAATCTATATATCGAGAAAGTAAGAACAAAAAATGCTTAATTGTTACTGGAACTGCACTGGAGGATGTCTTTTGGTTAGTAGAACATGTAATCCGAAGGCTATTTTCCAATCTCAATATGGTGGCCTATTGCAAAATTATTTGTCCATAAACTTCGAGCAGCTACGAAATTGGCGAGTTTTTAAATAAATTGATGAAATCAATTGGAATCGTTAGCTTATGATGTAATTATTAAATGTTGAAAAGGGTTTTATTTTAAATTGAAGTTTAACAACATTTTTAACGTGTTCGTCGCTAGGACCGTGTTTCAGCGTGTTTTCAATTTTGAGGATCGCGACATATTGCACTGTGCACTGTAAAAAAATCACTTAAATTTCACTTAATATTGTATCAATTTCTGTCCACACCCGATTGAGTGAAATTTTCAGTATATTAGTATGAGTACAACTGAGTGAAATATCAGAAATGAGTGAGTTTTACTCAAATCCGAGTTTCTGCTAACTTTCAATTGAGTGACTTTTGACTATTCTGAGTATATAAAACCAATTTAGAGTTGACTTTCTCCCTAATATGATTTAAATTTAACTATTATTGAGTAATTTTTTTACTCAGACTTGGTTTTCAATTAACTATATAATGAGTGCAAAAATAGTTCACTTATAAATTATTAATTAAGATATACAATGAAAATTAATTCACTTCGTGGGACCTCCTCCTATCCTGGCCTCCTGGGTAGGAGCTGGCTGGGATCCACCAGCTGAGACTCGCCGACTAAGACGCTCACGCTCTTCTAAAGCATCTAACGGTCCCCTATTAACTGTGGTCGAGATTACAGAAGCAACATGTAAGTGGTGCCATCTTCATGACGCCATTCAAATTACTCGAAATTAATATACAGAGGTAAGAAAATGCGTTCGCTACTACTGTTGCAATTTTTTACTAACTTTTTTGTTTTTCGACATACGGGCTTCAGATCTTTTGCATTCAACGCAGAACGGACAATCAGAACCAAGGATGTGGGGAGATTTTTTTAAATTATTTTTTCGATTCAACGCACCGTTTCCGAGTTATAAAATATTTTCTACTGTATGACGTCACACACTTCTTGTGGATATGAAAAAGGGGTGGGATCACTCAATTATGAGGACATTTACTCTGATTTAGGTACAAGTGCACCGAATACGAGTTTACGTGAAGAATTTATTTAAGGAGTACCTATATTCGAGTGAAAGTACTCAGTTTTAGTTTAAATATAATCACAAACGAGTAAAATGATCAAAATGCCAAATATTGAGTGAAAATGTAATAATTTCACTCAATGGATTCACTCCGAAATTTTTATTGCTTTCACTCACACCGATTTTTTTATAGTGTAATGCACATAAAAAAGTGAACTAAAAAAAAATTACAATCGGACGAGATCCTCAATTTTTAGTAATTGAACGATTACGTCGAAACTATTCAGTGTTTTTACTTGAAATTTGGCACATAATAGTTAGTTAGATAGTATGAAAATAAGTGTCTCATAATTTCTCTTAAAACTTTATACAAATTTATGTCGTAATGCAATAGACAAATTGAAATTTGTACAGCTAAATATTTAAAAACAAATTACTCAAAACAAATACAAGTATTTGTGACATCTTTTTAGGTATTTTGATACAAATTAGAAAAATAAAAAGTAATAAATAAACCCTTGCTCTGTAAAATCATCAGAATTTGTTTTTAGTAAACTTTTTTTATATCTAACTTGAAGTCCCACAGTGAGAAGTAGATAAACACACCACTATAAAATGCTATTCACACTAATATGTTCGTCTCGAAAGCTTATTCACTTCCACTCTAAAAATGAACGTTGAAGAGCTTTCAAAACGCAATTTACTACGGTAATGTTTGGTATAGAAACATGTTCATCAGCTTCTCATAATGAGATTTCAAAGTAGATAAAATTAAGTATGTAAGACTGACCTTTTTGTGGCGCAGTAGTTTATTAATTACTGTCTTAAAATTATTTTAATTTTCAGCGTAGTACAAGACCAATAAAAAAGAACACCTATTCATTAAAAATAGTATAATGAACTCGAATAATGTAAAATGTATGGTTTTATCAATATAAAAAAACGATTAATTAGTTTCTGTGTACAAATACTGTACTGTGTACAAATGAGCAAATGAGCTATAAAGTAGGTATCTTGTAATAACATTTGTATATGTATTGATAACAAATACAACTGTAAACACAATAAGTGATTAGTTAGTATCCAATGTGCTGCAAACATGTTATGTAAATATGTGTGCTTGATATTGTTCTCAACGCCACATTCGCAGTGCGCAAACATTCTAGCCTTAGTTCCTACTACATCGTACAGTCATCAGATAGCCTACGCACCTCTATGGAAAGCTTTGTCCCTTAATGGACACAACGTTACTTTGTTAACGCCGAATCCAATGAATAATCCCAAATTAACCAACCTGACTGAGATCAGCATGAATTGGGCCTACCAGTTTGTTGCCAATTTGAGCTATAAAACAGAATTCGAGATAACAATGTGGAACTTCCACACCACTCTCTCCACTGGAATGGATTTTCTTTGCGACAAAGTACTATCTTCACATGTAGGCCAGGATCTGTTACATAATGAACATAATTTTGACCTGGTATTCGTGGAGAATGTGTGTCCAGAGCTTTTAGGCTTTGCTGAAATATATAATTGCCCGAAAGTTCTAATCGCCACAATGAGTTTGTCTTCGATATTTTACAATATTCTTGGGGACTTTGCTCATCCCATTTCACATCCTGAGTTCGTGGTGTCCTTCCAAGGGCAGTTAAGTTTTCGGGAAAGATTAATAAGTACAATCGTTACGTTGTATTTGCACTATACTTTCGCTTACATCCTTTTTCCCAAGAAGCAAAAAATGCTGCAAACATATTTTAATAACACATCTACCATTCCGGAGCTTATTAGAAGTATAGATATGTTGTTTCTAAATGAAAATCCACATCTTCATGGACCAAGGCCCACTGGTCCAGCTACTATTACCATTGGGGGTCACAGAGACGATTTATCACTAGAATCATTACCAACGGTAAGTAAATATAAGAATTTTATGAAAATAATTCTGTCTGCTATACAGGGTGTTTCTGAAATAAGTGCGTTCCTTGAAAAGGGTAATAGAGGACACGAAAATGACCCAACTTTTATTAAGCAAGTGATGGTCTAAAACATTACGTTTTAAATGAAACAAATTCGCATGAAGGTTTAAACAAATGCAAAGCAGTCCCTGTAGGCTATTGAGTATATCCAATAAAAACAGGGTTAAAAGTAACTATGACGATCAAACAATTTTATTACATGAATCGTTCAAAGGCTCATTTTAGATTAAAACTGCGGAGTGCTATTAAATTAGAGGGTGAAAATTGGAGATAGGGATGAAAATGCACCCCTTTCAGTTTTTTAATTGTAGCTGGAAAACGAAGCAAAATTTCATTATTTAGGGAATTGAATTTTCCATGGAAATAGCTTATTTAAAAAAATTAATAGGAACATTTTATGCAAAAAAAAATCGTTAATAAACAATTTGAAATATAGCAAAAATTTCGATTTTCTGATTTTTTTTTTACTTTTTTGCCTCTAGTTTTTCTTTTGAGTAAAGGTAGGTATACGCATTGCTTCATAGAAAAAAAGTAGATAAAATTTCCTTCAAAACTAGAGGCTGAAAAGTATTTTTGGATGAAAATTGACTGATATATGGCTGCTCAAACTTATCCAATTTTTCGGTTTTTGTCGCGTTTACCCTTATACGTTATAATTCTCATTGTTTGCAAAAAAGGAAGGAAATAAGACGTTCAACGAATTTCAACACATGACTTGTTCGAAAGGTCATTATAAATGAAAAAACCGCGGGGTGCTATTAAATTAGAGGGTTGAAATTGAAGATAGGGGTGAAAATGCACTTTTGCCGTTTTTTAAATATAGCACGAAAAAGAATTTTGTAGAGAATTGAATTTCTCATCGAAATGGCTTATTTAAAAAATGTAAAAGGAAACATTTATGCAAAAAATCGTTAATAAACAAAAAAAATATTTTTTGATTTTTTTACTTTTTTAATAAAATAATTTAGTAAAAACTTGATAATTTAAGTACAATAAAGTTTATTAATAATGTATATATAGTGTGTCCACGTATGGAGTTGACAAGAGGAGAAACTCTTTTGTTTTTGACTTTATCGAAAAATGTCACTTTTTATAAGAAGTTCTACCCCTCGAAAAAAGAGACTGTCATACAAACATCTTAGATTAGATATACAGGGTGATTATAAATAAAAAAAACATGAAAATACTTAAGAAAGAAGTACCATTATTTATTATTTTACACAACATTTTTATAAAACAAATCCGTTTATAACCTCAAATAATATCCTAATACAAATTTTAAAATCAAAATTCCTATTTTTGAGTTGGGAAGTAGCGTAAATATAGAGTAAAAGTCAGAATTAAATCTTCAACAGCAAAAATACGCTGTTGAAGATCTGCTGCATCGACAATAAGCGTTTGTTTCATACAGCCCCAAAACAAGAAAGTCCAAGGGGTTCATATCCAGACTTCGTGCTGACCTACGTACACGGCCATTTCGTCCTATCCACCTTACCAGAAAGTTGTAAAAATTCACAAATTGAGCATGAGGTAGGGCACCATCATGCATGAAGGACATTTAGGCACGGATTTGTAGAGCGACTTCTTCCAACAAATCCGGTAAGGTGTAAAATTCTAAGTAAGCAGCACCACTTAAACGTGCAGTACCACTATCGGACCGCGTAATCTGTCACCAAAAACACCACATCAGATTTGCTTGATTGTGGAAATCACGTGGAACGTCAGCCAATTAGAAAAGCGCTTCACCCATGTAACGAATCCGGACCATACAAGGTACTATGGAAATTTGAGACCAAAATCATTAATTTACCCGAAAATATCAGAACAGCGAAATGGTTACCTCAACAGAAAATTTTAAGTGAGTGTTTATCAAACTTTATCAAACAGCAGATATCTTTTTCGTACAACTGATAAAAGTGTATTACTAAAATATGACTAACCTTTCAGATCATCCCAATTTGAAATTATTTATATGCCAAGGAGGCCTTCAGTCGATAGAAGAAGCTATTTATGGTGAAGTACCCTTTGTGATAATACCATTTATTGCTGACCAGTTTCAAAATGCAAAAATGTTGGAAAACAAAGATATCGCTATTGTTCTGGATAGAAAAACTTTAACCAAAAATGTTTTAAATAATGCTATTATGAAAGTAATGAATGACACAAAGTAAGTAGCCGTTATATTTAAAAGGATTTTTTAAGGATATATTCACGTAATTGTGAAAAATTATGACCTGATGGTTTCATAAAAAAATGTGCCATGTACTATTATAGAATCTAGACCAGCAAAAGTATCTAATTAAATAAATAAAATTTCGGGAATTGTAGAACATTGTAACTGGAACAGTCAAATGGAAATACTTAATGTTTTAGTTATTATGAAGGAGTCAAGAAATTAAAGAAACTAATTTTGGATGAACCCATGACTGGTTTACAGAAGGCTGTGTGGTGGACAGAATATATCATTAGAAATAAAGGCGCCAAGCATTTGAAGAATCCAGCAGCGAGTATACCACTCTATCAGTATTATCTGTTAGACGTTATAGGAATGCTAATGCTAATAGTTACACTAATCATTACAGCTTTAGTGCTGGCACTAAAGAAGATATCCAAGTTGCTTTGTAGGTTTCACCATAGAAAGCAAAAGTAGAAATTAAAATATATACAATGTTTTTACTGTTTCTAATTTTAATTCTTCTTCAATTTTAACAATAATCATCACATTATATTATGGACATCAATTATACAGCCCCACAAAAAAAAGTCGTGATCTTCCTATGTATTTTTCGACGCTGAATCCGAAGCTGACGTCAAAAAAATTATACGTATACCCCTTAAATTTTTGTGTAGAGCCAAAAACAATCCTTAAACAGGGGTAAAGTTATGAATATCAATATCATTACGAAAACGAGTAGAAATGGCCACCCTCGTGCTCTCAACTATCACTGCTAAGGGCTTCCCCGAAAGGGTTGGTACGCTTTGTACAGCCCTTCTACTTCTATACCCTTTCGGACATAGATCGGCGTCATGAAAGCTTCTAGCTTACAAGCTCTTGAAAATGTAAAGGAGACATGGTGAAGGATGAACACAGACAAAGAATCAACCCCCTAGAGGGGTGGAAACTATCACCTGCTAGACGGGGTGGAGGAAGGTGTGGCAGATTAAATTTTTCTTGTTTTTACTGTGCAATGGTCGCAATGCAGTGAGCAGAACAGCTCTCAACTGATCCCCCATTAACTTTTTTGTTTTAAGAGTTATAAAAAAATGTAAAATACAAAAGACTTTTACACGATTTTTTATGAATTTTTTGAAAAACAAATGAAGTCCAAACAAAATGGCCGCGGATGTTAACTTTGTAAATTTAAATGGAACACCCTGTATATTTTTACATATTTGGATAGAGCGTTCTCTGTCGAGCATAGTCATATAGTGTTTGTTGGGACCATCTTTAACAATAAGCGAGATACTATTAAAAAAGAAAATAAGGTTAAATGGAGCACCCTGTATATTTTTACATATTTGGATAGAACGTTCTCTGTCGAGCATAGTCATATAGTGTTTGTTGGGACCATCTCTAACAATAAGCAAGATACTATTAAAAAAGAAAAGAAGGTTTTTTTATTAAGAAAATAAGATATCTTTTCATTGTTAGGCCTCTTTCAGGCATTTCTGCCTTCTTTCCAATTACGTAAGGATTTACAGATTTAGTTGTAATATATTTTGACATATCGGACATTGATATGGTCCAAAATGCGTATAGGTATTTTAACTAAATGTCACCAATTAGGCCGTGAGAGGCCTAATTACTCATGGACAATGTTATATGGTAGGCCGTGACAGTGACAGGTAATGTCATGACAACATTGTTATTGCTGAAGAATCGTATTTAAAAAAGCAACTATATAAAAATTATTAATTAAATTGTTGAATCGGCCTATCCAATAAAAAAACATGGAAAATATAATTAAAAAAAAAAGGAAAAATGTAGCCAAGCCACATAATAATAGTAATGAATAATTTATATTTTCTTTTGTTTGTCCAGTATAAATAATAATTGCTCATGTATTTATTTTGGACAAACAAAACAAAAATATAGAATTCAGAATTAGTCATAAATCATCTTGTAACCTTAAACACATAAACAAAACGGAGCACACAGCATTAGCATTATCTTCGGCAATGAATTTAATTAACAAATCGAGTGACTAGCGAGATTAAAGTCACACAATAATTCTATAAACAAAAGTTGAGATACAGATAATTTAAGTACATACAATCTGCAATGACATTAATAAATGTATCGATGGTAATCAAGTGATAACAATCAGTATATTATTATTTTCCTTTAGTTTACTTTTATTTTGTCTCATCAAAATTAGGAGTTCTAGTCATAGGTACATATTTTAATATTTAGTTTGAAGACGACGACCAGAAATTATTTTATTATAAAAAATGTATTGAATGAAAAGTAATTTAATGTATTTTCTAAATTTTGCTCAATTCAGTAAATTTTAATTATATGACAGTAGTTTCATCTCATTAGGTATGGATGCCATTTATTTTTTCTTTTCGCACTGTATTAGCTGTGTCCCGTCCAAATTTGGTTAGTGCATCCCTCTCGGTTTCGAAATTTCAATACTTATATATGTTTTTCGCCACGAACATTGAATTATTCCAAGTATTTCGTATTTTCACTACCGAGAACGGCGGTGACAATATTTTTAACATTAAGGCGATGTTTCGCATTGTATTAGCTATGTCCCGTCCACATTTGGTTAGTGTATCTGTCTCGGTTTAGGAAAGTTAATATCTATGTATGTTTTCAGCCACGAAGATTGAATTATTCCAAATATTTCGAATTTTCACCATCAAGAACGGCGGTGACAATATTTTTAACATTAAAGCGATGTTTCGCATTGTATTAGCTATGTCTCGTCTAAATTTGGTTAGTGTATCTATCTCGGTTTAGAAAATTTAATATCTATATATGTTTTCAGCCAAGAAGATTGTTAAAAATTCCAAATATTTCGAATTTTCACCACCAAGAACGGCGGTGACAACATTTTCAAGGGTAAAACGATATTTCGCATAGTATTAGCTATGTCCTGTTCGAATTTGGTTGATGCAGCTTTCTCGGTTTCGAAAATTCAATACCTATGTATGTTTTCCCCCACGAATATTAAATAATTCGAGATATTCCGAAACAAAGCAGTGACAACTCTTCACATTTAGTCGATTCTGGAACTAAATAATATACAGTGTGTTTATTTAAGTGTCTTGAACCAGGTTATTTGATTATGATAATTTTAATTGTATCAGTACTATTTATAAACATTATTTCGTCATGTTTCTATTAAAGCGACGATTGAACCTGACAAATAATAGGTACAGGCAGACAGGTTATTTATTGGGATATGCTGGTAAGTACTTAAACCTAACCTTGATAGGAGTTGACATAAATGTATATATTGCAACCTGGCGTAATGATGGTCTAACCACTGCATCCTTGATCATTATTTGATGGTCCGTGTGGTGTATCTGTATACCCAGTGTTCACAAAATGTTAGTGATTGTGTCTTTAGCGTTACACTTTGTTTCTTTTACTAACTGCGCTAATATCTTAGCAATTCTACCAACTGCGTCTTACAGTCACCAAATGGCGTAGGTAGATGCATCTATGAAAGAAGTAGTCGTTAAGAGAACACAAAGTGACCCTCACAACAGATACTATGAACGACCCAAAGTTGGTAAATCTTACAGAGATAGATATGGGATGATCTTACAAATTTACTGCTAACTTAAGCAAGGCGGCTGAATATAATATTATGACAATGTGGAACTCTCATTTAAAGGGTATAACAATGGTAAAGGCCGTATCAGAAGCCCAAGTGTCACATCCTTCCGTTCGAGATCTGATTTACAATCCAAAAAGCTTTGACTTAATTTTTATACATTTCTTACTTTCAGAATGGTTAGCATTCGCGGAAATCTATAAATGCCCGCAAATTTTATTTGCTAGTATGGATGTTACTGCATCATTTTGTCTTCTAACAGGGAATCAAGACCATCCTATTTTGCATCCAGACCTCATGTAATCTTACCACGTGCAATTAACTTTTAAATAAAGAGTTGTGAGTACGTTATTTACTTGGTATACTCTCTATTTTTATTCTTACACAGTTTTTTCCGAAAAACAAGAGATAATGAATAAAAGTTTTGATACAAATTCATCCCTAATGGATCTTATAAGACACGTTGATATGATGTTTCTCAGCACGTCCTTTAATGCAATACATTTTCAACAGCTGGAAACAGGAGAGATATGTCGCCACAAACCACCGTCACCGGTAAGTACCTAACAAAATTAGCAACTTGTGGAAAGAAAAGAAAAATTACAAACGAATATTTGACAAATTCTATTACTATTTATTATCTGTTATGTTATTCTCAATAAATTGCAAACTCACAATCAATTAAGGCATACTTACCTGATCCTAAATAACAATATAGTATAAGACAATATTATCTATTGTTCAAACAGGAAAAATCCAATTATAGGAATAATAAGGATATTGAAAAAAATGGGGCGCAATAGATGTACTAAATACAAACATAAAACCAATTTAATAAAATAAAGTTAAAAAAAATGAATTTTCTTTTATAGCAAAATAAAAACAAAAACGAACCAAAAAACAAAAAGTTAATTACCCAGCTACATTGGCTATAAAATTATTACAAACGTATAAAAATGTAAGTAAAATTAATAAAATAAAGCAAACAAAATGAAATTGTCTGTTACAGTTAAATACAAACAAAACAAACCAAAAATGCTCCTGCTAAACGAGCTACCCAGTTGCATATACTATTTAAATTATCATTAAGAATATCATTTTTCATAATTTGTAAATAGATTTTATTAAAATATTGGTTTGTGAGGCAACTCAATAAAGTAAAAATTGCTATCTACGATTTTCGCCAGATATCAAAAAATGTACTGTACTTGACGTTGAAAAGGTACATAATTGTCGAACCTGTCTGATTTTACGTCATTATTAGACTATTTTGGGAATAATCTGTAAGTGGATAAAGACCATCTTACAAAAAAAATCGGATACCATAATTGAGCCGTATTCGATTTTAGTCATAATCACAGTACAAAACAGCATACTTCCGAAAAATCTTTATAGTTGAGATATTTATGGCTTTTACAAATTCTCTTCTCACTACAGGGATCTCGGAAACAAACGGAAAGAGATACGAAGTAGCTTAAATGGGAGCAAAGTTGCACAATTAGGGGACCAACATTATGCCTCTCAAAAATCAAAGCTAACATGATTAATTTTCGAAATATTTGAAAAAAAAACGAAATTTTGGAAATCCGTGTTTCATTTCAGCCTTGTTTGAGGTGAAAAGAAGAACACTTTCTCATGGAAACTTTTTGCCCTCTATCGAATGGCATAATCAATTTTTATATGTCCCCTTTCGTCTCTCCAGGACCATCATCAACTTCATTTTTTTAAATACGACCGTGGAAATTTTATTACATTTTTGTAAGCCTTCAGAACCCCCAATACTGTACTACTTCAGCCCGAACCAGATTCAGACGTTTTGTCTAAAAAAATTCATCTTCAATGTATTCGTTCCATATTTTTTTCAGGATGTTCATACAAATACATCTGACATGCTATTTCACAGTTGCGGTTACAAGAATAATAAATTAAGATCACACTGCTCTTATATTATTATGTTTTTTGGTATGCCTTTTAATTTTTTTTGTTAATGTTGTTATTTTTTTTTGTTTTGATTTATTTTGGGCGCCTTTATTTTTAATATGTTGTTGATATTGATATGAGACTCACTCAGCGTGTGGGTTCCTTTTTTACTTATTTTTATCTGGATTAAACATTTTTATATTGTTTCCTTACTCTATTTTTCCTTTAAATGAAAGATATGTTGTATGTTACAAATACCGATATATTACAATCTGATTTTATGGATTATACGTTTTTACAATTGACAACTACTGTTATACTTCTTACACTAGATTAATAAAACAAGATATTTTCCCCCTAAATTCTACTGTTAAAGTGCATAGTAGTGTTTTATACTGTAACTAGTTGGTTGGTTGACAATGATATTGTGCATTAATTATACATATATGCAGTGGGATTTTTAATGTAGAAATTTTTATAGCGCTTTATTTTCAAATTTGCAAATTTGTTTAGCTAATTGTGGCGACACTTACGATCGTAGAATTATTGCTGGTAATTTAAATCCTCCTGCATGTAATCGCATTGGCCTGGAGTTTCCTCGTTGAACCGCCGTCACGCCACAAAGATTTCCTTGGATGTTTTTACTGGAATTCTTACAGATGAAAACTGCACTGCACTATTCTTTTATTGGGTTTCACTTATCACTTTTTATTTATTTTTGTTAACCTTGTTCAAATTTGTTGTTTCATAACTACTTATGTTGATGTGGCTCAATGAATTTCCGAACTTATGAAACTAATTTGAATTTCGAACTTTTGACAGCTGTATCTGTCCGTGACATTACTCCACCAAGATGGTTTGATAAGTATGACTTTTTCACTAACTTGTTGATTTTATTGATAACAATTGTTTTTTCTAGGAGCAAACTAGCGATGTTACTGCTACAGGTAAACATGGAAGACTGGCTACCTCGAGCCCGGAGATTAGTTTTAATAAACGTGAAAAACAAGTGAATGTTTCTATAGCAACAATAACACATTTTTGAAAATTTATTTATGCAAATACTAACTTTTGGACTGAATTATGATGCATGAAATTTACATTTTCAACTTCCTTGAATTTTTTGCATCTTTTGACACCAATTGCACGTTTCTAGGTTAACTTAAAAGTCATGCCAAAATTTTACTTATATCTACAAATTTCAACTAAATTTTGATAAATAGCTTAATTCTCAGCATGTCTGTCCTTTCAATGTCTTTAGTACAACCTTTTTAACACCTTTTATACAGTCTTTACTCGTTTTTCAGATGTAAACGAAAGAAAATTTCAAAGTTCTCCGGTCCATCAAGTATTAATAAAGTCTACACAACAATTTGAACTTTGGTTGGACTCTAAGCACAGTTTATGAAGTTATGAGGGTCTTTTACACTGCACATATGACACACACTACTACACTTATACAATAAAAAATTTACAAATACTAACGGAACAACAAATGTCAACATTTAAAGGATACATAAAAGTTTTCACAGATGCTTAGGTTTAATTCCACACATACATTCTGGTTACATGTATACTATGCATTGTTTATATACCAGTTTTATTGCATGAATCATTATTATCTGTGAAAAACCTTCATCATCCGTCGATAACTTGTCAAAATTCCGCTATATTTTTAAATGTGCTCATGCCAGAACTTTTTATTGACATTTGATATTGTAATATGGTTCTTTACTGTTCTTTATAACATAATTGTGCTACATGAGTGCATCTGAATAGTTTTATGAATATGCAATTCAATTTTTGTCATAGTTTTGACAGTCGAGACGTTTTATTGTGAAAATTTAGTAATTACATCATTTTAACTTATACTATTGATAAATGTCCTTCATTTAAATTCATTACAGTCATCCACACCCTGTTTGTGTCTATTTCAACTATATTCAATCTCAAAATTTGTATTCATTCGACAATTTTATGTTTCGGTTGCCGAGAAAAGAATCGATTAAGATTTCAAATTTAATAAAACATAACAATATCATCGCATATACTGGCCATTGTATGAGGCGCACTTCAACAACTTTATTGGCCAATAAAGGTGCTGATCTTACAACCATCAAACGCCATGGTGGATGGAAGAGATCCTCTGTAGCAGAAGGTTATGTCTGTATCTAACAAACTTGATATTGCAAGGAAAATCCAAGAAAATATAGCTGTTCCTTACAAGAAGATACATCCGTAACTTGTGCAAATTCTTCACAAACTTCGGTAGATATTATGCGTTCCGAAAATGAGTGCAACAATGCTACAAGGGTTATTATTATTAAAAAAGGAAGTTAAATGTGATAAAACAAAAAAGTTAATAAGTAAATGAATTCAATTTGATTTATTGTAGGATAGGTTTATTATTTTTTCATTATTCTACTAGTGAAATAAAGTTACTTTATACGGTTCATAATATGTGTGGATAAAAGTACGATTGTAAGGTGATTGTGGACAAAAATATAAATCAGTCTTGTGTTGAGATAGATACTAAATAAAAATTCTAGCTTTTTTTTTAACTCACAACATTTCTTAGACAGCAAGCTAGTTAAACACTTTTATTTATCAATATTCAGAGAATAAAAATGTTTTTAGACGAAGCTAGAGAAGGATACATTTACGTAAGCTTCGGTAGTAACATTAACAGCAAAAATAATTATTTTGATGATGAATTTTTTTGTTGTTACACATAAAATTGAGTTGTAATTAATTATTGCACTAAACCAGTTGTAAGATATTTTAATTAATTTTCTGTCAAAAAAGAATTTGTGTAGTAATGAAACCTGTGATTTTCATTTTGGTAGTATTTTCAAAAATAAGTTGAAATATATTTTTTAATATTAGATTACCCAGAGTCAAATATTCATCAAAACACCTTTAAATTCAATTATTGTCAAGTATTGATATTTTATTAAAATATAATTAATAAATAGCAATTAAAAAATTAATTTAAAAAGATCGTCAACTTAGCTTCTAATGAAAGTTATTTTAAATTGTGTCATAATTTAGATACAGAATATCTTAGAACGTGATTAACAACAAACATTGATTGTTTGTACATAAAGCACTGCGACTGATTAGCTATTTATTGAAACACTGTAGAGTTGTCGCAATTAGGTAAAAAGTACCCCAGTGCTTCCCTGTACTATGAAGCCTTTAATTTAGTAAGACCGTTACATGCCCTAGCCCTCTAGATAGTAGTAACTACAGCTCAAAACGTTGCAAGTGCAATATTTTATGTTCATATTGACGATAAGCCTTATCTCAGTTTTCTTATATTACAGTTTCGGAGCATGCGTTAGTATAAATTTATATATCCTTGATCTTTATTAGGCGGTAGATGTATATATCACGTTAGTGCATACAAAATGTTAGTGAAGTTAGTATTACTGGTGATAAGTTTTGTTTATTCAGACTGTGCCAACATCTTAGCGGTTTTACCATGTCCGTCTTACAGCCACCAAATAGCTTACACGCATTTGTGGAAAGAATTATCTTTAAGGGGTCACAAAGTGACCCTTATAACGCCTAACCCTCTGCGTGATCCCAAATTAGTTAATCTTACAGAAATAGATATGTCAAGCATTTACAAATTTGTCAGTAATATAAGTCGGTCAGTTGAGGACAATATGCTGACAATGTGGACTTTTCATGCTGGTATGTTGGAACTGATGAGGACTGCATCAGAAACCCAACTAGCTCATCCTACTATTCAAGATATGATCCACAACCCGAAAAGTTTCGACGTAGTGTTCGTGGAGTTCTTGGTTCCTGAGTGGCTAGCTTTTGCGGAAATATATAATTGTCCAAAAGTGTTATTTGCCAGCATGGAGGTAACTGCGTCCTTTTACCATTTAATAGGAAACCCAGCTCATCCTATTTTGCATCCAGAATTCGTGTCGCCCTTCCATGGACAGTTAACTTTTAAGGAACGGGTGATGAGCTCGTTAGTCAGCTGGTATTATAAGTATTACTTTGCCTTCACAGTTTTTCCTGAGAGGCAGAAGATTTTGAATAAATACTTTGACACAAATTCGACAATAACTGGACTTATTAGTGATATTGATTTGATGATCCTTAGTATAAGCCCTTTAATTCAAGGTCCTAGAGCATTAGGTCCCAACACGATATCGATTGCTGGGTACAGGGAAGACGTGTCGTCTCAGCCATTGTCACCAGTAAGTATTTTGGAAATGAAATATTCCAGGAATACTAATCACAAGTATATAATTTAAAGTTATTTCTATTGAGACCCCCTGTGACTATTTAATCATTTAGAATTTATTATCTGTTTAGTTAAAAAAGTGTTATCAGTTTTAGATTAAGTATATCTCATAAAACTCATCTTTTATACAGCGTGGAACTTATTAAGTAGGTATGTTACAATATCTTTCACATATTTCTCTGGCGCTATTGTGTAACGTTATTTATTTGTGGCATAATCGTTTTTCCGTTGTTTATTGGGCATTTTTCCACCTGCCAAAAATTTAAAAAAGGATCAGTCAACGGTTATTTTTATGAAAAAAGCTTTTCCTAGCCAAAAATATAACGGAAAAAAAAGAGACAAATACAAAAAACACATTACTATAAAGGGTGAGCCAGATTTAACAGCAGACCCTAGAGAATGCTATAAAACTAGAAATTAGTGAGGTTTTTCTTCAAAAATGCTTCGTTTTCGAGATAAGAAAAGTAACAAAAAATATTTTTATATCTTTGCAACTGAATAAAAAATTTGAGTACACGTTGTACTGGATGGGTCACCGTACAATGTGACAATATCTAAGCAACCAGTGATATGATATTTTAATTAATTAAAAAAATGTTTTAAGTCTGTATCGGGTAAAAATAATACAGATGTTTCGATAATGCTTTTAAACTGGACCAAAAGAAATGTTTATAATTCCTATTTCAGTAGATTTTTTAAAACTTTACTTTCTAAGTTTTTTTTGTTATATATTTGTGACGTGTATACAGGGTGTCCGGAAAGATCATGTCAAAAATGAAGGGATGTACAAGGGAGCTCAAAATAGTTGTAGTACTTCATACAAATTTTTTTCCTATCGGGCTTCGTTGTGGAGTTATTTGCCTTCAAAGAAAGAAGTTTGAAAAACAAATTTCAATTATAACTTGTAAGTCGTTACCATGACAACAATGAAATTTGGGCAATTAAAGTAACTCATTTCCATGTTTAAACTGATATTCAATATATCTGGATTATACAGGAGCCTTTCTCGACACCCTGTATAGTAGAAGTAGTTTTAAAAATATGGCATTTTTAGTAATTAGTCATCTCGATTTACTTCCATAAAAAATTTGGTTTTATATCTATATTATCTGTAAAATACACAAAAACAAAAATTTTACTTGAAAAATAAAATAGAATAAAGAAAGATTCCCATCCAGAACCTGCCTCATAAATTTGCATATTAAAAAACGATATTTTTGAGCATTTTTCTAAGAAAAAAAGCCGCGTTTTTTAAAAATAATTTTCTTTGGTTAAAAAAAACAAAAAAAATTAAAAAAATTTTATTTTTATCTCAAAACGGACAAAATGAAAAGAAAAGTTACAAGTATTTGTAAATTTTCTACCCAAACTATTCAAATGCTAATAACTTCTTGAGGGGTTGAAAAACATTATGAAAGGTACTAAATAATACTAAAATATAAGAAAAATTAAATATGGTGGGGTCACGACCACAGTGATTTGGCGTGGAATATTAGCTGACTGAAATAAAAACATATTATGTCCTAAGTATTATATTTTTAGGATGTTAAAAAATTCTTGGATGATGCCAAGGAGGGATGCATTTACGTAAGTTTGGGTGGTAACGTCAAAAGTAGTGAACTGAGTCAAAACCTGCTGAAGACAATCATGGAGGCTCTAGCGGACGTGCCGTACAAAGTTTTGTGGAAATTTGAGGCAGAAACAACGGACATGCCTAAAAATATTAAAACCGCCAAATGGTTACCACAACAAAAAGTTTTAAGTGAGTAGATAGCAATTAATACTCTTATTTAATTTCCACTTACGTAGACAACCCGAAAATGTCAATATCAGATATATATTTCATTAATTAGGAATTATGTATACTTCAAAATATGATACATCTTTTTATATAGATCATCCTAATGTGAAATTGTTCCTCAGCCAGGGAGGTCTTCAGTCTATGGAAGAAGCAATTTATGGTGAAGTACCTTTTGTGATAATACCATTCTTCTCTGATCAGTTCCAAAACTCGAAAATACTGAAAGATAAAGGTGTAGCTGTAATTCTGAACAGACAAACCTTGGAGAAGGTCGAGTTAAGAAATGCACTTATGGAAGTAATGAACGAACCAAGGTAAATTTCGATAATAGTTTATAAATAGCCAAATTTTCCTAATTCTCTTTGAAATTCTTAATATACAAGTACAATTTTTCAGATACCGTGACGGAGTGAAAAAAATGAAACAGTTAATCTTAGATGAACCCATGACTGGATTAGAAAAAGCAGTATGGTGGACAGAATACGTTATCAGAAATAAAGGCGCCAAGCATTTAAGGAATCCAGCTGCAGATCTACCATTTTATCAATATTTCCTCTTAGACGTTTTAGGATTCTTGTTCGTAATAGTTATTTTAATAGTTACTGTCTTAGTGTTAGCAGTGAAGAAGATATCTAAATTGTTTTGGAGGCTTTGTAGTAAAAAGACAAAAACTCAATAATTATCTTTGAACCAGCTGTAGTATATAGATGAAACTTATTCGACTGACCTCCTTATCTGAATGTTTTAATATTTTTGTTATAATAAAGCAGATCGCTTATTAATTATAACTCTTATCTGAATCTTTTTAAGAATTTTCATAAATTAATCAGTATAATGATGATTTGAGAGATTTTAATGCTTAACATTTTCTTTTAAGGTCAATTCTGTGTCGTTTATACTGTAAAATATTACATTTTCACTGTTTCTGAATGTGCCTCAACATAATAATATTATTTTGCTTTCAAAATTGACAGATTTAGCAAGCAATAGTCATCAATCTTAAAAACCAGAAAGAGGAAACAGTGAAAATACTACATAAAAATTAGAAAACTTTTAAAAACTTTTGGGTTATGTTTAAAGACATATTATTAGGTAGTCTCTTACAAATTTTAAAGCCAATATAATTAGGTAGCTTAGATACCTACCGTTGATAATTTTGTAAAAGGTAAATGAAAAAGTTTTTTTTGTCTAGTATTTTTACCACAAAAATTTTATTTTTAAATATGTGAATGCACATTTCCAGTAAAAGTACTGGCAAAATACTCAACTCTACAAACATATCTTTGTATGTTTCTGTAATAAATATGCCATAGTGCGATGAATACGTTTCTGGCGAAACAAACATGTTCTGAGCAATAGTAGAATTGCCCCACAAACAAATACTATTTACTACTACTCATAATGTGATATACAATTTTATGCTAGTCAAGTCGAATTTTCAAAAATATATCGTAGGTACTGTTATCTAGAGAGAACTAAGATTGTCAAGATAACTCACAAATGGTTCTGCTATTACGGAATCTAATTATTTGAATTCTGTTTATTAAATATAATGATTTTAAAATATAAATGATTTTAATTAAATCGATCATTCAATAACTTTAGGGCTACGTTACAATTTTCTTTTCAATTGTTTGTCAAGATATGCTCCACACTATTGAAATATTAAGTAAGTAGAACAAGACTGAGTTTTGAGGCAATTCAAAATCAGTTTCTAAAACCTTATAGTTATAATAAGAAATCGTCCTACCGCTAGGATACTGCAGGGACAAATTGTTTTCTGAGCTTATTAAATGGAGTGATCCTATCTCTATTTGCAAAAAAGTGTTATTAAACTTGTATTATTAGTAAAACTATTTTCTAAATTATTTCCTGATAACTTCCGAATGCCCGCATATATGAAAATCTTAATAATGTTTCTTTCTTTCAATGTGTAAATAGGTACAGCAAATACTCAAGTATTGAGTGAAATGTTCTTTGAACATATAAAGATAAGTATTTCATTCGACGAATAACTATCGTAATTTTCCATTCGTGGAGTAATTGGTTAGGGGAACACTAAATGCTGTTTCAGCCACGTTAATCAAATTATTAAACAAAATAACTGAAAAACAGGGAATCTTTAAAAATTATTTAGATGTCTACGTCATGTATTCTTAATAACATCTTAATTTCCGTGCTTTAACATTTACCTACAGTTTTTTGTCATTGTCATATATTCAAAATTGCAGTTTTCTTTTCAGTGATGCGTTAATTTCAAACTTCATTATGCGTCGTTGTAGTGTTCTGTTTACGAGAATTTTGAAGGTAAATAGAATGCTAAAATTACGATTTTCAAAAGCGAAGCCGTTAAAACTGCAAAATAATGACTAAAATTAATAATAATTAAACTTGTTGATATTTATTGATAATCCCTTACGTAAATGACGCGTTTTTAAATTCTCGGAAAAATGGTCTAAAGTTCCATGAATAGAGCGCTAAATCAGAAATGACATGGGTTTCCTGGAGCATCAATTACTTGATTAATTGAAGTAACTTTTATAGTAACACCACTCTCTTCTAATCAGTACCTTAAAAACACTGGAAGGTGTCACAACAGTTCTGAACCAACAAACTTTGGAGAAGGATGAACTGAATATCGCAACTATAGGAGTAATAAAGGCGAATGACAGCGCGGTTAAATCATAAATATAATTTTTTTTTAAACATTTAATCCATAAATCCAACTTTTCCATTGCCATGTTGGAGTGAAAAAACTGAATCAGATAGATCCGGTTAAGGTATATCAAAAATGGAGTACCTTAAGGATCCGTAGTAGGACCAACACTTTTTTTAATATACATAAATGATATCATGAATTTATTAAATGATGACGTCTTATACAAGTAATTTATTTGCTGATGGTACTAGCATATTAATAAGAAATAAAAAAAATTCATACTTACTAAAAGATATTCCTAGTTTACAATCAAATATTCAGAAGTAGTTTACTAGTGACAAATTCTCTTTAAATATAGCTAAGACTGAGACCAGGATATTTACCTTAAGAGAAATTGATAGTGACATAAATACACATTTTGTTAAATTACTGGGCGTATATTTGGATTATAAATTGCTGTGGGATCAACACACAATCTATATTTGCAAAAAAATCTCCAAATATATGTATTTACTACGGAACCTAATAGGCAAAGTGTCATTATACTTGGAAAATTACTTATTACAGTTTTATTCATACAAATATATCTTAGGCTACTCTCATTTGGGGGTATGCAACTGCTTGTAAGAATGTATTTACTTACCAGTGAAAAGCTGTTAGAATTATGATTGGATTGGGTTATAAAGTAAACTGTAAGGAACAATTTATTAAATTAAATACACACATACTTCAGTGTCTCATGTACATGAAAGAAAATCTGAACATATTTCAGATTAAAAATGAGAAAACAGGATCAGAAATATACATAATATTTAGGTATACGTCTCTATAATGCTTTGCCAATATATATAAGAAATTTGGAAGATAGACAGTTTAAAAATAGAAGAAACATGTTTCTATTAAACTATACCTTTTATGATATTGAACAGTTCCTTGTGAGTCGCAAATTTAATGAATTCTATTACCCTTCAATATTTGAAATTAGATTAATTATTCACATTTTATTACTATTTTATTATTGTATAACTATTCTTAAGGTTGTGATCTATTTTATGTAGGTACTTTATCTTAATGTGTTTTTTTTGTTTTGACGTGTATACACTTTGTGTAATGACACGAAATTGTAATAAATAAATAATTTATTTTATACAGAGTTTCGCAATATCCCTTGTAGCTACAAGAGCCTCCTGCGATCAAAAAGTGGACAAAAACATTGTTTTTTTTTCAAATAACTTTGAAACACTTTTATATTGAAATTTTGTACCCTAATACTTCCATATGGTGTCACTTTGTCATTGTACAGAAACTAATAGGGTTAACAGAACTGTGAAAAATATCTCATCCCTTTTCTCATACTTTTGTCGGGGGGCCATTCTATAATTTCTACTTTTTTTGTCTTAAAGATGAAGGGTTTTTAAAAATTTTCCACTTTTGTAAAATATTTGTATTTGTGTATGTTTTCGATTAATTATTTTCTCTTATTAGATCATTACTAACGTATTTTGAAACTTGAAATAATTAAGTCATTTCAAAAGAATTTTCTCAAACTTTCAACAGACGATTCTCTTATAAGAACTGTTCAGTATGATGCAGTCAGGATTTTGTAAAGGAAACTGCTGCAGAAGGACACGAACAGGGCACCGCTATCACGAAAGGTATCCGAATGGTTCAGTCACAAATCATCAAACTTTCTGAAAAATTGTAAGATGTCCCAAAGTCTTCATCAAGCCCATTGTGGAAAAAATTTTGGAAATGATGCAAGAGAATGAGGCAACCACTCTCAGATTAATACTCAGGGAGACTAGTTTCCAAAAAAGCAGTGAACAACTAATTCATCCTTTTCACGTTCACCTACTTCAACAACTTCTACCTCTTGATCCTATCGCTCGTCTTCAGTTCTCGCAGATTATTCGCCAATACAGCTGGAGATATTTATTTATTTATTTATTTATTTATTTATTTAATTTAATTCATTTAACGGGATGAGAACCCTTTTACAGGATAAATAAAAACAGAAAAAATGTAACATTAGAGTAGCATAATTACAATAAACAGCAAAATGGTATAGAGAAAGACAATAAAAACGGAATAGAGCATCAAAAATAGTAAAAATCAACGGCAAAACAATATAAGATAACTAACAATGATATAACAATACTACAAAATAAAGACAAAAATAAGAATAAAATACAGATCTTAAAATGTGTAAGCACGCTTTATAAACGCAAGCGTGCAGTTAAATATATCCAGCCGTTCTTCAATATTACAGTAATTTCTTAGCATCATATACAAGGGAGACCACTGAAAAATATTAGTACGGGAGTAGGAAACAACAAATAAATTATAAATAAATTATTAGATCTAGCGTTGGCTCTAGGAATTCTGTAGCTAACAACAGAGGTAAGCATAATGCAATCTATACCAATGTTAACAAGCTTGTATAGGAAAATTATAGAATTCATAATCATTCTTCTAATTAGACTGCTCATCTCAAATCGTTTCAATAATAAGTCTTGTGAATACCCTCTGGTTGGATAAATCCCATCCAATATGAAACTTGCGGATTTAAAGAACCTTCGCCGTACTTTCTCTAACGCCGTTATATGACAATTATAACTTGGAGACCAAATTAAAGAGCCGTACTCCAATTTAGACCTAACAAAGTTATTAAATAATACTCGTAATGTAGATATGTTTTTAAAATCTCTACTGTTACGTAGTATGAACCCCAGATTCTTGTACGCTCCAGCTATGCATTCTTCCATATGTTTATTGAATGTTAATTTGCCGTCAAAAATGATGCAATGATCTTTAACAAATTCAGGCCGATTAAGTATCTGATTATAGATATAGACTTCCACAAGAGAATTATTTTCGTGGACGAATTGTTCTAAGAAACTTGGGAATAATACATGTCCTTAATATCCAGCATGTTTATGTAGATGAAAATCTCCAAGTCCTTATGGAAAGACATTTTCAGGGTGAATTTAATGTAAACAACGATCTACCAGTTAATCTACGTAATCACTTTTACGTACAACGAAGAACCACCGCATTTCAGTCACAATGTAAAAGAATATTTAAATGATCAGTTCCCAGATAGATGAACAGAGGAAACGTTGCTCCAGT